ACAGTCACAAGTGGTTTGAACCAGAAAATGTAATTTATTTTAATTCATCATATATACGTATAAATTCATTAACAAGTAAACTAGTATATAAGCATATGTGTAATAATATAATGGAACCTCCAACAATTAAATCTAGGTTGGAGGAACTGTATAATGTATCTCCAGTAATTATTAAAAAAATGTTCAGTCTACCTTACACCACTACAATTTCAACAGATCTTAGAGCTTTTCAGTTTCAAATTATTCATAGATATATTCCAACGTTTTCAAAACTTTTTGAATGGAAGTTAGTAGCCTCCCCTCTCTGTGTTATGTGTCATACAGAAATTGAAACCATAGAGCACTTGTTTGTGGAATGCCACTGTGTACAGTCATTGTGGGAAAAATTGCAGCAAAACTGTAATTTAATTTCAAATACAGATTGTAATGTACAAAATATTATACTTGGCATCTATGAGGTGAAAAATATTATGTTGAATTTTATTTTATTGTTTAAAAAATACATATACATATACGACTGCCGCCCATGGACATTATTTCTCTTATGAATGGGATATAGAAAGGATACGAAGAGTTCTCTCTAATTATAGGACATTTTTGAATTGTTGATTCTCAAAACTTATGACCATTACCTCTGTTATGAAAGGAGTGGGATGCTTTGCGATCCAATTCAAATCATAATATACAAGGTGACTTAAATATTAATTCTGCTATAAATGAAATGAGATGACTCTCTTGCGCTTCTGGGTGGCAAATAACTTGTACAAATAATATGTACAATTCATGTACAGTGGGAAAATGTTACGACAAAAGAGACGCTCATCTCCTGCCTGATCTGGGCCACATCGACAGTCCCCTACCACAATATAGTTCAACAACACTTGGCTCGCTTATGGGATTCATAGCGACGTATACAACGCGTGTAAAATACGTTGTTTATTTACATGAAATTCGAACACGCCCTGCGTGACGACCACCTCGCTTTAAGTGTACGTCATGTTTACCAATTATAGACGAATTGACGATCAGTTGTAAATACACAATAACCGAAGTATCTTGTGTCAGAAAGTGGTAATTTGCTCATTCTGCATTGAATTTGAACTTTGGTGATATAGACATCTTTGGTTAGTAGTAGCATGGGTTTATAGTTCCATGGTAGTAGGTACGGTTCACCAAGAACGTCGAATGTTGCCCTCAACGGCACGATTAGTAGAATATTTCCAGAAGAAACACGTGTATGGAAAATGAAGTTAAAAGTTCAACGTGTAAAATTAAGCTTACAAATAAAATAAAAAAAATAATTTATGTAAAATGTCATTTTGTTGGTAAACAAAGTTTGTAATATAATATAATATAACATGCAATTCATTGTGTAATAATATTGTAATTAACAATTACGCACGGAAACGATATTGTTATGTAATCTATTCTCAATAGTTATTATGCCGACCCACCTGAGCGTTAATTACTGTGTAACTAGACGTTCGTTATCGTATTGACGTCAAACTTTTAGAGGGTTCGCCCAAACCCCAGGTCCGAACCCCTCTCTGTCAAATTACAGGCCCGTATATCGGCATTCTAGTTCTGAATGTCAGTTTATTGGCGCCCCTCACTCGACACAGGTTGCTCAGTTACGCATGGGTTGACCCGCGGTTGATCCAATCATTTTAATGGGTGGATAAGATCAGTGTATTGAACTCTATAGACGGGCATTATTTCAACATTTCCATCGCGTATTTATCAAATTCTTGTCGTGCCAGAGCCCGTTTTCATATCGCGTTGTCCACGTACATTTGGACGCGCTCAAATGTTAGAATTTAACGATTCTCTTTAAGAGTGTTTCAGCTTATAAAGTTTCTTTTTTTTATAACTAATGTAAGAAATTGAATTGTTGAGATGTGTTATTTCATAGATCCATGTATTGTGCGATATTATTCTAGAAATTTATGGCATGTATTTTTAGCACATTGCATAACGTTTGTGAATATACATGAATGTGCAGAGCAGCCTATGACGTAATCACTCATGATAAGTCTATCTAAAATTAGTAAAATAATGTCATGGTGTTATCCTGGACTTTCAGTTCAGGGAACAGTGTGTGTAAAAGTACCTTGTCCCATGTATTTTGTGAAATGTCCATTGTACTTTGCTGAAATCCCTATAGGTACGACTATTGAGTTTCGATTAATGGATGGGTATGCAAGTGCTTCTTATTTTACAACATAGCTAACTACCACTACGAGGCTAAGGATCGTAGGTAGTAGCTACATAGAACTTACTTCAAATCAACACAGAATTTGTCATTGCAAATCATTGCCAAAACAGTGTTAATTCACCACAGGATATTTTAAGTGGAAGCTAGTTCATAAACAGAGGTGGCGGCACGACATAATGCGGCATGGTGGTGGTGGTGGTGGTGGTGGTGGTGGTGGTGGTGGCATGGTGGTGGTCTGCTTACCATCTCTTGCGTCCCATAGGCGCAAGTAGTCGCGCATTTTTTTCGGAGGGCGAGCGCCCCCCTCCCCCCGATGCCGCCGCCACTGGTAAAAAACAGCTTCAAGTAAGTACATAATCTGAACGCAAGACTATAGCGTTTTTCTCTGCTCAGATGCCGTGACATGATTATGTATTATTGTTACACACATGGGGAACTATTATTCAACCCATCGAGCTAATTCAATACATGGAAGGCAATGTATACAAAACAGTGTTTGGACTAATTTCAAAAAGTCGACTGGTCATTACAAATTCATATTATATTAATACTACTTTGAATGAACATGTTGTTCCAAATACAAATGGACTTTCCGAAATTAGTTGGTATAGTTTTTTTAGGTTAAAACTTGAGGAAGTGAGGATATTTGTTAGCAGATATATGATCTATCGGGTGGGGTGGGGGTGGGGGTGGGGGTAGAGTATTTGGCGATATAGTGCTCGCATAAGAAATACACCACAAAATAACTTCAAATTATACCAACGCTTTTTCTTAGATTATACATGTACTACAATCGTAAGGGGTTTCAAAAAAACGTGTTTTTTTTTTTTATAAATTTCTTATACCATCTTAGTGTAGTTTTTATAGTATCATAGTTTTTTTTTTACGTTTTTTTTTTTTACTTTGCTATCATTTTAATCACTTATATATTTATTGTTGTAAACTAATAGAAAGTTTGTACTTCTAAGGATGCAATAAAGTTATTATTATTATTATTATTATTATTATTATTATTATTATTATTATTATTATTATTATTATTATTATTGTAATTCAAAAAAAAAACAAACTCATATACAATTAATGTATTTATAATGATAAACCTGCATGTGGGGAGCATAACTGCTGAGTTGTATACCTACACTAATATGGGGTCGAGTTGACTTTGGGTCGAGTTGAAGACTTGTCGTTGGTGGCGACTCGTGTAGCCGATGTTTGGAGAATGACAACTTCCTCGTCGACGCAATGAAGTATGGGTAATTGACTTCAGGTACAATTGCGTGCGCATGCTCAGTCTTAATCAAGCGAGGAGTCTACGTCATTTCAAAACAAAGATGTTGTGGACTGTCCTCGGGAAATACGAACAAATTGAGTCACGTCTATAAACGGACCAATTAGCTAATTCTCATGAGAACACAACCTGACTACCACCGTTAAGCATAGACTGTTTAATGAATCGTTCGTAACATGGCTTATTTCACTGTAAATCTTGACTCCGATAGTGTTTTTGACGATGCCGACCAAGAGTTGTCAACAGGATCTGTTGGTGCAGATGATGGGGACTCCCCGACCAATGTGTCCTTTGTGCAGGCGTTGAAGCACAAATACTGTGAGGTAATATAGACTAGATGTATGAAGTTATCAACAACTCTTACAGTAAAAGAAATTATGTTCATGAACACCGGAAATTAATTCTAGTTTATGGTTTGGGGTAAATCTGCAGTGCCCGGTCGATATAATAATATTATTGTCCTTGTAAGCAAAGATATTCCTTTTCTATTGTCTTAGCTCATAATAATCAAAAATATTATTTTTTTAGTAACCGTTACCAGCTCATACTACCGATATCTGTAAAAAAAAAAATATTGCTGGGTAGATTAATTAAAAAGACTTGCTTTTAGCATTGCCATTGCACTGCCTCAACAGTTGATCCCTGCCTATACGTGTAATGTCATGGCTGAGTGTGACAAGAGAAATGCTGCAACCACCACAAAACTTATATAGTTTCGTCAGATTGTACAGGACAAAATTAGGACCTACAAACCTAAGGATGCACATGACAGCAAAGATAACCTTTTTATCAACTCAATACACACATTGGGTAACATTACAATTGTCATCTGATTCATGACCTTTTGCCTGGCTGGAAACTTAAAGGGCGGTAGTCGTCACGCCACGCATGCTCAAGATATATGGGTCTCATATAAACAAAGATGGAGACTTTAACTGTTGCGCAGATCAAGGAGTACAAACTAAGATGTTACCAAGCTTAAATTAAGTATTTTCAGGTGATTGGAAAGTATCAAAGGAATCACTGGCAGTAATTGGTGCTTGTCTCGCCCAGGTCAAACTTGTAATTTCAATTACATGTAGAAGAGCGCGTTAGATTGTGAGAAAATCAATGTTTATCAACAGAAATGTTGCACATGCGCAGCGCGATGACTACCGCCCTTTCAACTGAATTCTAGAAAGTATTTTGGGGTAATTCCACACTTAATAATGTGCTATAGATATTTTACGAGAGTTTATCTCAATGCAATATTCCTCTGTTCAAAGATCGGCATTGAGCTACATGTTTAAAAAAAGAATCTTTCAGATCTTGCAGTGGATGGAAAATCACCTATTGAAAGTGTGCTTTTTGATTTTTACTGTAGAATACTTTATCTTAGCTGGAATTAATTTTTGCTGAATAACTTTTTGGGTGTTTTGTATGGAATTTATTTTCACTGCTTTTTGACATTCAATGTAAAATATAGGAAAAAAGGTATATTCGCTGGATTTTATTTTCACTGCATTATTCCTTCAGCAAAAATAAAAAAAAATTATTCCAAGCGAAAATAACATTTTACAGTATATCTTCATTATATTTAGTGACTACATTCATGTTATTACTGCCACTGAGATTTTAGGTCATGGTGCTGGAATGCTTCTGATGATTTTTTTAAATACGTGTATTTTGTTTTTCTGTAGGAGTCACTTACATCATTGTACAAGAATACCTCAAGAAAAAGGTCGTCTTCAGCCGAATTAGGGTTTTTGCAAAATGTGGTAAAATATGTTTATTTTTTCTCACTGCCAGACATATTTTCATACAAATAAAAAAAATTATACCATTTTTGTTTTTATTTAAGCAGAAATAGGAAAAGCAGAAACAATGAAAATAAAAACATCATTTATGATAATATGCAGCTCAAATGATTATTATTACATATTTCAGGTTACTTGTCATTTGCCATGGAATAACTTTAGTTTTGTCTATCACTAATATGCAAATGAGATTAAATAATCTTTTCTAAAGGGAGATTGACAAAAATGCAGTCAAAAAAAAAAGTAGTACTACAGGCATTGCTGTGGTAACATGTTTTTACTTCGTACTAGTTTAGCGCCCTGCTCAGACTCTGAGTTATAGAATACATATGCCTAGCGCATTCACGACATAGCTGCGCGGTTTTTGAAAATGTTTGAAATGGGGACGCTTTCAACCAGCTCTTCATAATAAATAGACATGGCTCAAGGTGACCAGAAGGTGTTCGACATATAAAACATGTGACCAGCAATTTTTCATCTAATGCTTGTATCATTGTTCACCATGCTCGTCTTCGCATTATAGTGTATTTTGTCATTCATAGAACAAGGTACATCTTATGTTATTTAGAACATAATTCACTAATTTGGGCTCATATCAAGCGTTTGCTGTAAAATCAATAATCGCTGCTGCATATTTAAACTTAGTTCGATGACGAGTGAAATAATCTTATGGCGATAAAAACAATTTACCATCCCAGTACTGATGCCTTGTTAACAACCAACTCCCCGGGTAACTCTGATTTTGAACAAAAAATACAGTGAAACCAAGAGTGAGAATGAAAGAGTTGTAGTATCTTGTGTTGTTCCATTCTATGACATACTTTTTCTCTTTTTCTTTTCTCATCTTTAGGTACTTGGTGGTTTTGAGATCACATGTGCAGGTTTGCCGAAAGAGGGTTTAGTTACATTGTGTCCAAACGTTGTGGATCTTGACTTAGCTAAAAATGAGCTTGATTGCTGGTCAGAGGTGTTAGCAATCATGACTGAGCTTCCCTGTCTAAAGTTTGTTAATCTTAGTTTTAATAAACTAAAGAATGACAAGGTCAGTTGGTAAAAGATGCTTGCAACAATCCAATTCTGAAAATATAACCAATAAGAATGAGCCTTGTTAGAGACCAATCTCTGTCATGATTTCTGATTGGTTGTTGATCTTACAAGACTTGAATATACATGTATTTTGCATACTAGGTCATTTGAGGTGATGTACATTGAAAAAACTACTTCTGAATTTATTTGGACTTCAGTCCTTTACATTTCTACTTCATCTAGTATAACCAAGATATTTTGCTCACCGTTATCAATTTTCACTAATTTTCACTTGGCTAATCACGTACTAAGTTGGCATAAGGACAAATACTTATTAAGTCATAAAATTTGTCGGGTTTACCTTTGACAATCACTCCATTCCAATAAAGGTCTTGAATACACACTTTTACCAAATTTATTTTGATTTGGTTTTGAACAAAATAGCTACTATTTCATATTTATCGAAACTGAAACCTATTTAATTTATTATAATATTATGATTAGAACATGTAATTGTCAGCTTGGGGGACAAATTGTGACTTAGTGAAATTCTAATTTTTCCCGAATTGTTGTACTGATACACATTATTAATGAATGGCATTCAGTAAACACAGCTGCCTTCTGATACCCTATGTCAGTGATTCATGTGAATATAGAATTGTTCTTTAAATTTTCAGAAATGCATCAACAGTTATGGGAAAAGTTTCCCATTGGTTGAAAATCTTGTTCTGAATGGAACTGAAATTTCATGGCAAGATATGGCAGTGCTGGCAAAACTGATGCCAAGACTCAAAGAGCTTCATTTGTGTGGAAACGGTAAGTGTCCAGAAAGAGCTAGAAATAGACATCACTTCTATATCATAAAAAATTTGTTTAGACATCATTTCTGTAATATTTCAGTTATTCCTAGGCAGCGTGTAAATTTTCATTACTGTAAAACATGTCTTTTTCGCGAGCATGTCTTTTTAGCAAATTTAGCGAGAGAACTGATTCGCTAATTCAAGATGTCACTAATGGCTTTATTATAAATTCAAAATGGCCAAGGCTTAGGGATTTGTATACAGTAATCCCGAACGTAAAAATCTGGGGCGCTTCTTAATTACACTTGACAGTTTTTCTTTGTTTTTATGGAGGTGATAACTGCGCATTTGTTTTGACACACGACAGACAAGTATTGTGAAAACAGGAAATCAACAATGACAAGAAAGATTCGCTAAATCAACATTTCGCTATTACTTCATTTTACCGCAATTTTTCTACTAAAATTGCATCTTGCTTCTTCAACATGTTTTACAGTATATTCAGCACTACGTGGTATGAGCTAAAACCTGTGTCCAAGTTGAATAGTGGATTGTTGCGAAAGACAAATACATGTACAGTGTTCTCCCCACATAAATTGCTAGATAAGAATATGGTTGTTCAATGGCAGCTAGAAATCCCACGACAAGTATAGTTATTCCTAAAAAAATAAATAAAATAATGCAGTACTAATTATTTTTTCACAGTGATGTGCATGATGGAGATGTTATTCGTAATTTTTTTGTTTTATTATTCTCATGTCAGGATATAATGAAGTGGAATATCAAAGCAGACAGGATTTCTTAGATGCATTCTCATCTGTTCAATGTATAAGATTGAACAATAATAATATTGTCAAGTAAGTCTGTTGACTCGCTGCTTAAGGATACTCACTTAGATAGGATTTTCCCCAAACTTTGCTAAATTATTCTTTGTGATTGGCTGTTTTAAAAAATATATTACATTACAAATAAATTACATTACAACAGTATATATATACCCGTAAAATCTGTATTAGAAGCCGCATCCCTTATAGAAGTCGCACCCATTCTTTTTGAATAACTGATAACCAAAAATTCATCATTTCTCATATGTGTAGATGCTCTAATAGAAGCCACATCCCCTCTGTTGCATTGTACCATTTTAATAGAAGCCGCGGCTTCTAATACAGATTTTACAGTACCGGGGGGGTACATAGGCTCTGGTGCCATTTATTTGCCTTTCCAGTTTTGTTGATATTTCCAGTCCATATACAAATAGTTAACATGTCCTTGTTGTACTATATTTTACAATGATAACCTTTAATGTTTTATATTGTGAGTATATTTGACTGTTGTAATGTAATTTATTTGTAGGTTTGATAAAGGTGTTTACACCATCTACAGCGAAACATAACTTGAATGCAGTAATATCCGATGTCCAGCCAAGTCGTTGGAATGAGTGTAATCTATAACCAAAGTTATTGTTTTGTATTCATTTATATTTCCACTAGCATCAGTC